ATTTATTCAAGCACTCATCGCTTTTATACCTTTTTTTCAATTTATCACATTTTATTTGATCTAGCGTGTCTAAGCACGCTATAAGAGCAGCAACGAAGAGCACAATCCGTGTATTCGTAGGTAAAGCGCTCATTTCATCTTTTAATGCAATTCTTTCAAATTCTCAAAATACCGTGTATTCGTAGGTAAAGCGTTCATTTCATCTTTAAATGCAATTCTTTCAAATTCTCAAAATATTTCATTTCCTTTTATCAATGCTGTAAATTCATCATAATTAAAAATACCATTTCCTGCGTAGATCACCGTAACGAACAAAGTGGTGATTAAACGAATTGCTGATGAATACCGGTAATGCGAGAGAATGGGCATTAAAATGGCGTAATTGCAAACTACGGATCAATTCTTCATTTTATTCATAAAAATAAAAGAATGGTGCATGAGTGAGCACCAACGCATATTGTTATTCGTTTCACAGCTGAAAATAACGCATACTGTTGAGTATTGGATAGGAGTGCTCGTACATGTAATCACTACTCCTATGTTCTTCTACCGTGCACAACCTTTCTCATGCTCTTCCGTGCGCAATTTATCCTCAGCTCCACCATCTCACCTAACATTCTCAGGTGCTCCTCTATTCCCCACCGTTTACCTCCCACTGCAAAGATCTTCATCCCATTTTTTGCACCCTTATGCATAAAATGAAAATCAACTCAATAACCATAGCATTTCCCTTCAAGCCATACCCTGCACAGATCCTTACATGCTCAAAAATCATAGACTGTCTGAAAAATAAAAAAACGGGCATAATTGAATCACCCACGGGCACCGGCAAGAGCATCGCCATTCTGTGTGCTGTGCTTGCCTGGCATGCACACAACAGGGACACACGCATTTTTATCTGCTCAAGAACGCATAAACAGTTGGACCAGCTGGTAGCGCAGCTCAGGAGCACGGTGTACACACCGAAGGTGTGTGTGCTTGCGAGCAGACGGGTGCTGTGCCTGAACAGGAATGCGCTCAAGGGTGATGTGAACAGCACGTGCAGAGAGCTGGTGAAGAAGGGCGAGTGCCGGTACTTCATGGGCAAGGAGCGCCTTGTGAAGAGCATTGGCGATGTGCACGACATTGAGGAGCTTAGACAGATGGGCGAGAAGTGCACGGGCTGTCCGTACTACGCGTCGCGTATGCTGTCGGAGAGTGCCACAATCACTTTCATGCCGTACAACTACGTGGTTGATCCCATGGTACGGCACACGATGGGCATTGAGCTGAAGAACAGCGTGGTGATCGTTGACGAGGCACACAACATCGAGGATGCGTGCCGGTCTGCAGGTTCGATCGAGCTCACAAACAACACGATCGATATTATGCTCAAGGAGCTCGTGAGCGCGTACCGAAGGGCTGAGGAGTACAAGGAGGATCTGATGGTGCTCAATTTCTTCTTGCGCAAAATGCGCGACGTGTCAGACGTAAAAATGACGCGCTCCAATCTCGAAAACGAGTGCGCATGTTTCAAGGGTGACGAGATTGTGCAGTTGCTCACGCACAAGCAGGTGGTACCTGAGCTCATCGCCAAGATGCGTATGAATGCGCTGTTCAAGAAGAATGAAGAGCTCAAAGATGCATTTTCTCTCATGTTCCTGCAGACAATCGAGAGCCTTGTATCGGTGCTCATGCTTATATTTAGCGGCAAGGCACCCTCCTACGCCCTGATAGTGGGCGGTGCTCCGGGCATTCCCACCATCAATTTCATGCTGCTCGATCCCGATGTGATGTTCAATGCGGTCGTTCAGCACGTGCACGCACTTGTTGTGCTCTCGGGCACGCTTACGCCGTTCTCAGCCGTTGAAAACGAGCTCAACCATCGGTTCGCGTACTCGCTCGTTGCTCCCGCTGTGGCACAGCACACGTTCTGTGCAACGATACTGAAGAACACGCGTACCGGTGCCGATATGCTCGGCACGTATGCGCATGCTGAATCGTTTGAGTACGTGGATGAGGTGATCGATGTTATTTACGGTGTTAGTGAGAGTGTGCAGGGCGGGGGTACCGTTGTGTTTCTGCCGTCGTATCATGCCGTTAATAAGGTGTTTGGAAGGATGAGGATGCGTAGCACTGGCAGTGAGGCAGGGATGAGGGCTGGTGCAGTATTCGGTAATAAAGCATGGGTTAACAAAATGAGAACAGACACGACCAACAAATCGATCGGTATGAACAAAAATCCGTTCTTCACGAGGAAGATGGCAAATCACAGCGTAAACAATCGCATAGAAAACGTGTTTATAGAAACAAACGATAAAAGCTTTGACAAAACGTTCGCAGCGTACAAAAAGCATCACAATCCCATTTTATTGGCGGTATACCGTGGCAAGGCATCGGAAGGCACAGACTTTAAGGACAGGCTAGCACGTGCAGTGATACTCATAGGTATGCCCTGTCCCAACATAAAGGAGGTGAGCGTTGAGCTTATGCGTAATCACAGACCGGGTTGGTACGAGAATCAAATATTTAAGGCGGTTAATCAGGCTATAGGACGGTGTGTAAGGCATAGGTTGGATTGGGGTGGTGTGTTCTTGGTTGATGTGCGCTACCGAAGGGATAAGGAAAGATTGTGTGGGTGGTGTAGGGATAGAATGGTCTATGGGGAGTATTTTGGAGATGTTGTGGAGGATTTTAGGGGATTTGTTAGGAAGATGAAGGAGATGGACAGGGGCAGGAATGAGGTTAAGAATGGGAATGAGGTTAAGGATGGGAATGAGGTAAAGGATGGGAATGAGGTTAAGGATGGGAATGAGGTAAAGGATGGGGTAAAGTATGGGAATGAGGTAAAGTATGGGAATGAGAATAGGGATGGGGTAAAGTATGGGAATGAGGTAAAGGATGGGAATGAGGTAAAGGATGGGAATGATGAAGGAAGTGAGAATAGATATAGAAGTAACAATAATCAAAAAGAAAATGAAAAGGACGTTAAAGTCGTAAATGCGTATAATTATACGGAACACGGTACGAATACCGGCAATGAAAATGACAGTAATACTGTGAAGAAGAAAAATAATGGAAAGTATGAAGGTATTAGTAGAGCAGTAGAAGAAGAAATAGGTAAATTTGCAAGAGATGGAGTAAAAGATGAGGAGGAAAACGATGTTATAGAGCTGGGATACAAACATAGGAGAATAAACGGTACAAAGGACGAAGATGTGATGGGTGATGATGAAGAGGGGGTGAAAAGAGCACGGGTAGATGAGCGTAGTAAATACCATGATTAATATCGCAGTGCTGTACGGTGCCTTAAGCGGTGGGACAGTCGTACAGCACCACTCATACGATACGTTAAATAATGGCGTGTTCTAAGAAACGGTTCTTTTGATACACAGCATTCCGTTTTACACGAAAAAAAGAATTAAAATTACCAACGCTTCCTGTCCTGTCCCATAAACAGAAATAGCACAGCTATCACCGGGCATGAGCGGTTTGCAACGGATAGCAGTTCAGCACATCATTGTTATTAAACCTATCTTTTACCGAACACTTCCTTTCCTACAGCATTTGTGGTTGTGGTGCTGTGAGAAGTATCAGGGGCTTGTAGTAAAATAAAACTGACCAACGTGGTGCTGTGAGAAGTATCAGGGGCAAATAAAAAATTTGCTTGCCATGGTAAGCAAACGCGGTCTTAAAGATATGTTAAATGATCTATCCTTTGCCCTTGTAGCGAAAATGAACCGATCCCTGGTAGCAGTGCAGGTAGATGCGGTAAAATTATTGGGAGAATGAACAGAATGCCCTGATTTTAATCGCATCACCAGTTCTTGCCTGGGAACGGACACAAAAAGAGGTTATATGCGATATTAGACCGTACATGTTGCACACATGGTTAGAGGAAAACGAAGGACTCGCTTTAGTTCTACGGTTGAGTACCTGCGGAGTGCACACCTAACAACTGGCACAGTACGAGAAATACGTTAACGTTAGTTAAGGAGAATGCCCTGTTAACGCTGATCGTGGTACGGTGAGTGATTCGTTTGCTCAGAGAGAATCGGTTCAAAAAAGGTTAGCACTGCAAATGCAAATTTACATCGCTTTTTTACCGATAACACCAAAAATTTGTTTCTTCTGCAAAGCATTAACGGTGTGTCTACGTTTTCACTTTTGCTTTTTTGGCACGCAGGGGTAGCAAGGCTTGCTCTGTGCTACTACTGTTGTAGGAAGGTGCCATTCGTGTTGGCGCTCTGGAGTAAAATGAAAAACTGCTGGTGAAGTACGACACTGCCCTGAAAACGGTTCGTAAAAGTGAAGTACGCGTTTTGGTGAGCATTAAGTGAATGAAACACCGTTCATCTTTGCTCATGAGCATTACCGTTTTACGGTTTGGTTTTAGGACCAATATTTTTGATTCGTAGGACATAATTTAATCGGTGAGGTACGCAAGTGCTGTTCACGTGCAATCCTTCATAAATACGCTCAGCTTTGAGCAGCCTTTCATCCATCAACTGATGATCAATCAGTTACCGTTTGCAAGGTGCAACTGCTCCATTATAAGCTTAGCAACGCTGTGTAATGCCGGTACTGGACCAACCAAGGTTTTGCCAGTGATAGGTACGCGTACCACCTGATGCGAACATAACGTGCAACAGGGCGTAACAAACCATTTTTACCACCAAATCAGCGTGCCCTAAAATTGTAGGTAACACGAGCAGCTCGCGTTACCTACGATGCTCATCAAAATAGCTTATTTAATGCATAACATTCTGATCGGTAGTAGTGCCGTGGAACGATGATGTTCCTTCATATCAGCCCTAGAGAACGGAAACATCACATAAAAAAGCACTTCGAGGTGTTTGGCCCGTTTCACCTATCGTTCGTATGACAGGGTGGTACTGCTTGGCATGAACAAATTATTTGCCGTTCATCTACACGGGGCAGCAAATTGCTGCACGAAGAGTTGTGACCGCGTGGGTGTAGCATTGTGGGATAGGACAGCAGATCATTGGTGTGGAAGGTGGTGTTGGTGCAATGCTGTGGTTTATTACGTGCAATAACTGCGCTGTGTGAGAATAAAAATGTGTTGTGTGAGAATTGCTGTAGGGTGCTATCACGGATGGAGAATACTTTTATGATGGGTACCGCCATCAGAACAAGCATTGCTCTGCGGAGAGAGCGTGCATTTGCGATTGATAGGATGCAGACATGTCTTTTGCACGTGCTACCGTACTTTTTGTGGTGTCAGTACGAAGTAACATGGCAGTACGTGCTGCGATACGTGGACAGGGCCTAGGAAAACGTAGGTGTTTGAACAGCACGGGCGTATGAAATGCTTTTCGTTAAATGCTACGATCGGTAAAACGGTGTGCTAAAACGTGGCATACACTGTAAACACGGCTGTATGACCGTGTGCACACCACGAACATTACGTGCTATCCCTTGTTCTTGGTCACCACAAAATGTTTTTACGGTTGCTTTCACTTTTCTAGAATTTCTAAAATATAAAAGAAAAAAAATTTATGCCCTCCATGTCAGTAGAGAACACAGCAAACATTGAGCAAAGTGCAACCACCCACGGTGAGAACAAGACCGAAGAGACGGAGCAGGCCAAAGAGACGTACTCCTACGATGTGGAGATGACGAACCTTATGAGCATAATAATAAACAGCATGTACTCCTCCAAGGACTACTTCTTGAGAGAGCTGATCAGCAACTGTTCGGATGCGTGTGACAAGCTGAATGCGCTCAGGCAGGATCTGAGGGACAAGGGCGTGAACGTAGATATGCAGTTGAAGATGAATGTTACGCCTACGGATGACACGATCACTGTGTGTGATAACGGTATTGGAATGACCAAGGATGACTTGGTTAAGTTCTTGGGATGTGTGGCCAATTCTGGTACACGTAAATTTAGAGAGGCGGTTAAGAGTGCGAAGGCCTCTGTTGATGACTTGATCGGTCAATTCGGGCTGGGCTTCTATGCATCGTTTCTTGTGGCTGACAAGGTGCAGGTTGTAACGAAGTATCCAACGGAGGACAAGCAGTACATGTGGACAAGCTCGGGTTTGGGGCATTATACGGTTGAGGAGGTGCCTGTTGACATGGAGCACGGCACACGTGTGGTATTGCATATAAAGGAGAGCTGTAGAGAGTTTGTGAAGAAGGAGAAGGTTAAAGAGCTGATCAAGAAGTACTCTATGTTTATCGGCTATCCAATTATACTCAGGACTTTGGAAGAGAAGGAGGTTGAGGAAGAGACGGGCGAAGGGGTAGATAAGGAGACTGGTGAGAAGGTAACAGACGAGGAAGTAGATAAGGAAACGGGCGAAAAAGTGAATGAGGAAACGGACGGGAAAGTGAATGAGGAAACGGACGAGAAAGTAGATAAGGAAACGGGCGAAAAGGTTATCGACAAGGTCACAGATGAAGAGACTGGTGAGGAAGTAGATAAGGAAACGGGCGAAAAGGTTATCGACAAAGTCACAGATGAAGAGACTGGTGAGAAAGTTGATCAGGAAACGGGCGAGAAAGTCGATCAGGAAACGGGCGAGAAGGAACACAAGGAGAAGGTAAAGAAAATGGTGAAGGAATGGAAGGACGAGCAGATCAACAAGGAAAAGCCGTTGTGGACGATGAATCCTAAAGATGTTACCAAGGAGATGTACACCTCGTTCTACAAGACCATCAGTAACGACTGGGATGACTATTTGGCCGTTAAACACAGCCATTTGGAGGGTAGCATTTCGTTTGATGTGCTCCTTTTCGCTCCAAAGAGACCGAAGTTTAACATGTTCAGCGATAAGGGCGCGAAGAAGCACCAAGTACGTTTGTACTGCAACAGCGTGTTTGTTACCGATGAATTAGACCTGCCCGATTGGATGCACTGCGTTGTGGGTGTGATCAGCAGCCGGGATCTGCCAATGAACGTGAGCAGAGAGTTCTTGCAGGGAAAGAATACGAAGAAACTGATAAAGAAGACGCTAACGAAGAAGACGGTCGAGCTGTTGAAGGAGATGAACAAGGAGACGTACGATCAGTTCTATGGCGAGTTCAGCAGCGCTATCAAGCTGGCGGTGCGTGACGACAACGAGCAAGCGCTTGAGCCGTTGCTCAGGTTCAACACGAGCAAGAGGGAGAGCATAGGACTGGATGAGTACGTAAAGGATATGAAGGAGGGGCAGAATAAGATTTATGTAATCACGGGCACTACGAAGGAAGAGGTGGTGAAGAGCCCGTTCCTTGAGTATTTCAAGGATTATGAGGTGATCTTCATGATCGATTCGATGGACGAGTACCTTCTACAGCGTTTTAGGTCGTACAAGGGCAACGATGTGATAAAGATCAACCAGGAAGGTGTTGAAATTCCGAATGCTGAGGTGAGCAAGGAGATGCAGGACGAGCTGAAGACGCTCAAGGAGAAGATCGAGGGCGCGTTGGGTGATACGATTGAGCGTGTAGAGTTCCTCAATCTTGGAGATAAGCATATGTTGGTGCGATCGCCTAAGTATAGTATATCACCGGCAATGGAGAAGATCTTAGCGGCACAGGTGGCCATTGACAAGAGCAACATGTTTATGTTCCCCAAGGGCAAGAAGATCGTGCAGATAAATGTGTCGCATCCGCTAACCTTCAAACTTAACAGCCTGGTTAATGACGACTCTGCATTCACGAAGCTGCTCAATCTGCTGTTCAGGGTTGCGTGTGTGCAATGCGGGTATTCGTTGGATGATCCTGTTGGATTTGCTGATATGGTTATTGATACTTTGCTGAGCGGGAAGGAAGAGACCAAAGTTGTTGAGGAGGAAGAAGTGCATTAAAGGTTTAAGTTTTATTTATTTGAGTTGTGCTCTGAGTGCGAGGTTTAGTTTGGTTGTCTTAGGATCGAGATTACATAATCACCGAATAGGTAGCTAATTAATTAACCCCTACCATAAGATCTTAAACAATAGAAAAAACATAATACGAGATATGACAAGAAGAAAATATCATTGAATGGATAGAGCACTTTTTTCGTTTTATAAACGGGAATAGCGCAGCTAGTTTCTTTCTATTATGATGGAGGTGTTGTGCAAGATAGCTAAATAGCCTTCTTTATTAATTGAAGACCAGCAATCGTGATCAGTCCTTGCAGGCTACAAAAGTGTGATTCGGATTGTGTGGTATGAGGATAGAGATAAACGATTTTTGGTAAAAAAGAAGTAGAAAATGGCAAATAAACACATTTAAGGAAAAATTATTTTCATATCAAGTAACTCAGCCAATAGGAGTAAAAAATATGAATACAGCTTTATATACACTGAATGTAGAAGCAGTGTAGAGTATAAAAAAGCTGGCGTAGTGTTGATCCTCACATGAACGAAACAAACGAGGAAGTTCGCCAAAGCAGTGTGCGTTTTAACAGGAGGAATTATACGTAGGAATGCACTGAATAGATCAATAATGTCTGTATTAAATGAAATATAATGTAAAATTAACTAATTAGATACATTTTGCACAGAATAGATAATTTGAAATCACCGATCGGGAGTAAAACTATTTTAGATCTATAAAAATTTTTCACAGAAATCTCAGATCAATGGTAGCAAACAGAACACATTATTACGTAGATTAAAACTAAGGAGTGCATGTTTTGAAGCTTAGTAAAATGCTTCTTCGTTGTTTATGGTCGAGTGTAGATTCTATAAGTGCTAATCCGATTTATCTCACGCTGCGCAGTTGCAATCCGACCTTTCATAAATTAAACACCGAGTTTTAGGCGAATTGTATGGGCGTTGCAATTTTTTTCAGAAATGATTTACCGTCTAAGTCGGCATGACCGGTGTTACACCATATAGTAACAACATGTTGTGTTACACGTGATCAGACCCCAGCTCGTATCAACATGCATATAATACCACCGTACATCAGTAAAATCATCACCTATTCTCGTATCATGATCAAAAATATTTATGGACAGTGCAATACGTTACTAAAACTAAAAATTAACAAATAACTGCAAAAATGCGCTTGCAAGATCGTGCGATCGCCATTGTTTTTTGGTGACCATTAATAGTAAACGTCCTAAATTAGGAAAATCCAGAAAAGAATGCTTTTGTTCAATATGGCAGATGTAAGAAATACTTCCAAAACTATATAAGCACACAAATGTGCCAGTTTCATGGTAAAGACCAACTTATATTTTCTTGACCTAGTATTTGTGCTGCTGCAACTAACCCTGGTATTCGTGATTCCTGGATATGTGCAAGCATCTTATACCTCACATATACAAGCACCTTACATGTTACAGACGGATAGTGCGCCTCGACAACGTCCAGCCGTTCAACGGGCACTCTCATCGAATTGGCAGAATCAATATGAATCAAGAATGGAGTATGCAAAGAAGAGCTCAAACGATCAAAAACACGCAAATGACGGCTTTATCGATCCCAAAACGGACATCAACTCTCATGCATCAGTACCATCGGGACAAACTGCTCAATCTCAACAAGCACAAATGGAAAGAACAATACTAACTAGAGAAGATGCACGCAAGCATCTGATTGATTTTCAAAGAGAGCAGCTTGAATTTACTGCCTTGATTCAATGCGCGCACGTCAATGTATGTAAAAACGAGTATCATTTTATAAATGTGCAAAAGAATCGTTTAATAAGCCTGTTCAACTATGTCTATCTTATCAAAACATATGTTAAAAACATATACTACATGTACAACTTTATGGACGAAAACCATCTAAATGTGATTTTGCCCGCAAATTGGAATAGTGTGAAAAAACGTTTAGAATCACTTGATACCGTGCTATGGCAGATTGCAAATGAATATGTGCTCTTGGGTTACGATAACGTAGGCCTTACGAAGGATAATCACAGGATTATGGGTGTTGAGATCGGAGATACGATCTTAGGCGATTCTCTGAGTGAACTAGCCATTGTGCTGAAGAAGTTGAAAGATCATAGCAAGAAAGCCGAGAACAAAGGTCGGCAGATCGAGGATGCATTGCGTGCTACTGAAAATTGTAATGCTGAGTTCGGGAAGATAATGACTGCACTGAAAGGAAGGACCAGGGGCATGATTGGTTTTGAAAAATTTGATGATACAGCACTGCAACAATACATCGAAAGGGCAAAAGTGCAATATCATGAAGAAAAAACTGGAGGGTTAATGCACACAATTGATCCCTTGGTACAGAACATACAGGATTGGAAGGGATACATCAACAGGACTGCTGATTCTATTTTTAGTGATCTGAGAAAACGTGGAGAAAATGAGATTCTTTCTAAATCTATAACGGTGAAGCAACGTATAGGCATGATATACACTGCACTAAGTGATGGTATGTATGATTTTGGTAGCGTGTTTGCTAACATTTACAGGAAATCGACTGCTCCCGTTCCAATATGCAATGGACCCTCACAGCCTCAACCACTTAAGCAATCTCAGAAAAATCAACCTCAGCCACTTAAGCAATCTCTGCAAAATCAACCTCAGCCACTTAAGCAATCTCTGCAAAATCAACCTCAGCCACTTAAGCAATCTCTGCAAAATCAACCTCAGCCACTTAAGCAATCTCTGCAAAATCAACCTCAGCCACTTAAGCAATCTCTGCAAAATCAACCACCCCGGCCATTCCAGCAATCTCTGCAAAATCAACCACCCCGGCCATTCCAGCAATCTCAGCCATTCCAGCAATCTCAGCAATTCCAGCGACCCCAACAAATGAAACCGACGTTGCAGGTAGACGCTACAGAAAGCAGAAACTTCAAGACCGAATCTGATTTTATGCAATTTTCTGAAATAGAAGATGAATATATCTTGAAGGAACTAAAAAATATTGGATTGTTTGAAGCATATGAAGCAAGTAGCGAATATGATAATACACCCAGAACTGGGTATCAAAGATTTTACGGTGATGATCACAATATCCGTTATTAGCAGGGCAACCTAGATTAAAAGTTTAATGATGAGGTATTACAGAAGGTATTTAAGGTTTTTATAATAGTTTTTTACATTTTTACTCTTTGTGTAGGATGGTATCCAGCAATAAAAAATTTGCTTACTTTTTGGTAACTTATTTTGATATGCTGAGTATGCCTCATTTTTGGTTTGCTAACTATACTGTTATACTTTTACCGTATTTGCTCGTGATCCTCGATGTATCCTGCAAGGTACAAGCGATTATACGAACAAAGGACCACAAACTGATCGAAACTCTTATCTCGCGATGAGTGCAAGCAGTTTTTGTGAGACTGCCAGGCAAAGAAACTTGAAGGGTGCAGTAATGTCATTGAAAGTGTATGAGAGGACGTCGCGTGAAAGCTTGCTTGCAAAGTCGTAATTTTAGGGTAAGCTCCTTCAACCTTTTGGGTGTGCAAGCACCGTGTGCGTTTGCACGAGCTGTGTAAACACCGTCAGCACAGTTCATATACAATACCAGAGTTGGACAGGAATATTTAACATTTTCAACACTGTTTGACCTGCATGTCAACTGTCTGTTCGAAGGTTCTAACAAAGTGCATGGTGCTCCTTAAAACGGGTATCATGCAAGCGTGGCTTGGTGCCGATGTCAATGCTGCAGCAGCACGTACCTTTCTGTTGTTGTTTGTGTGCATATTGGATGGTTGGATGGATCAGTATACCGGGTTTCCTTATGGCACAAGGGTCTATGATCACCGTTGAGACCAAACAGGCAGTGAAAGAAACCCACGATTTGTTCTACTAACACTGTAAAATCAAGAAATGTATGGCTAAGCAAAATGAGCTGTAGATGGCAGATAAGCCGGTGGTTGTTCGAATACATCCTTTGTCATATCAACAGAAACGAAGAATTGTATATAAAAGCGATAATCGAACGTAATGTTGTGTAAGAGCGTATTTTAACGTTTTAAACTGTTCAAATAAATTATTTTTACCGCCAGCAATGGTGTGTTTATTGCACAATCTCCTTCAACCCTTTTCCAAAGTGACGTTCATCAAGGTACAAAAAGTACATAAAAATGAACATTGTAACTAACTTGAAGCATAGCGTTACAATGAGTGTTCAAATTAAAAATATAACTTACCTTACGTTCGGAATTTCATAAAAATTGGCCAGGATTAGTTCTAAAATATCTATGACGGCTGTCAAAGCGATGATAACATATTGGATCTTTCTTGCCCAAACTATTTCTGTGTGTTTGAAAGTTTGGAAGAAGATAAAGCCAAGAACACGCATAGTTAATTGCAGTATGTACAATACTAACTGTAACGATACTCCATACAACGGAAAAACAGTTTTTAGAACACCGAACACAACATGTATCTTGAAGAAAACTATAGTATTTTCCCTAATCATAAATTAAAAAATGAACTTACCTTATTCGCCTCTAATTAGAACTAAGTACTTACCTATTATTTCCGGACGGCCACCAATTTTCTTGTAGTAGTACCACGAGAACTCGTAGAAAAAATCGCGAAATTTCATGATGAAGAAGACTCCATGAATTGCAACCACGCTGATCAGCATGAGCTGAAATGCAAAGGATATATTATTAATATGTGTTATGTTTGCCAAGTTCACTGTAAGTGTGTAGGTGTATATGAACGGATATATACACATTTGGTAGATGTTCCGCGCTATTATGGCTTCCATCAAGAAGAAATTGCCAAGAAGTAACGAAGCTCCATAGACCACAAATGGGTATTCGGTAACCACTTCGGTCGTAAAATACACCGTCAGGCCAAAAAAAGCCAGTTCCAGGAATGTGAAGAACGAAAATATGTAGATGAAGCCTATTTGGGAATTGACAACGGATCCTGCCCTGGGAATCATACATTGGGTGTTGAAAGTGTTTTTATACGGGAAATAGATATTAATCATTATAACAGTGATTTTATTAATCATTTAAGAAGCTTTTAATTGAAATGATACGATTTTATTTGGTGGTACATAATGTATGGATGTTAAAATGTGGCAGTTGGGTGAATTAAACATCGTAGTTTGTGATGGTTTTTGCTTTTAGTTCGAATGTGATCTGAGGTTTTTTCGTAAACCAAAGGCTGGTTGGTAACCATGGTCATTTTAATGGATCAAAAAATGTAATTATTTGGGTGTAGCGATTAGTAAACGTATCCTTCGTGAGACAAACCATTATAGGGCTGTGAACAATCTGAGCGGTCTTCGATGTTTTCTTTGTTTAAACCGAATCCTTGGGAAGTCTATTTTTCTCATTTCGGATGATATGTTGAGATATTCTAGCGTAATATGCAAAAACATCTACCTTTAAAGATCTTACGATTGTTATCATCCGTGTTTGGTGTACGTTTTACTCAAGATCAGATTCGTTTGTTTTTTACTCAAATGTTCAAATAATTCGAAATTAAAAAATTTATCAACCCAATTAAACTCAAAAAAATTCATCGAGTCCTATTTACATTTACCATGGAATGCTGTTGGACTGTTAATGCTGTATTTCCATGGCTAAACCTGAACATATGGCTGATCAAACTATAACAATTGTTTTTCCTATGAATTGAGGATCGCTGGGCCATGACAAAAGCTGCTATTCTAAAGAGTTGACTCGGCATTTATTCGTAAGGTGCTATTCACATTGTATAAGTAAGGCCAAGCGACAAAATCATTCAGTGTCCATTATTTGTCCTGATCAAACTGTTGTGGATACGTTTTTTTGCTTATTTCTATAATTGGTGCAAATTTATGCCAATCAATGCGTTTAAATGATTGTTAACCTGAATGTATAGTCGCATTGTGATCATAGAACCTGTCGTGACTAATTAATTAATTAATTGATTGATTAATACCATTACAACCTGAATCGGATATTTGATCCAATTTTTTTGTTTCATACCGATATATGGACAATATTACTTGATAACTCATGCAATAAACAATTAGTTGAATAACCGTCTGCCCGTTAATCAACTAAAGCAGCATTGCGCTTTGATATTTGCTCGTCGATTCATTTTATTGAGATAACTGTAGTTGTGTGAAAAAAATGCAGCGAAATATTAAATATCTAACAAATTATGTTAAGAGGTTAGTACACTGCCGGTTTCTAACCAAAGCTCGGTGAAAACGAAAATCGTGTGAACATGCCTTATGCAGGCAAATTTACATAATTTGTAGACTTTATTACCGTGTTAGTAGTGGAAGGATTGAACTCAGAGCATTGTACAGGTAAATGGGTGTGTTTTTCTATGAGGAGGAAATACTTGACAAATCCGCTATGGTTGTAATGTTAGTATAAACGGAAAGGTTGCGCGTATTAAGTTTGCACTTAGCTATGCCAACCAATAGTACCTAGATCGCTTTAAAAGATGCGAAAAGGTCATTAATCAATTCTTAATTCGGAATGTGCGCAGGTAAAAATAGTTAATCTATCCATTTTTTAATAAAACACAATTCATTTGGTTTAACATTCATACAATATTATCAAATGCAATGAAAGCTCTGTGTAATGCTGAAATAATTCGCATTATGATACATATTCTCTTTTAAAATATGTTTCAGTAATTTACTTCATCTTCACCCAACCACTCGTTGCCAGCCTAGATAGGTTTTCTAAGAATCAAATCCTTGAGTCCGCTTCCAAAGTTGCGCTCATCTTTCCTAAGCAGATATAGAAACATCAGAATGACTAATATTCTGAACCCAAATGTCACGTACACCGTACAGTAAATTAGAATATGCACTTACTTTTGAAAACTGACAATGACTATTGCAATGATGATGGTGTCGATTATTGCAATTGCTAATTCCATCGCAATACTGCAATATAGTATTCTACGCGCGATAGTGCTCTCTTCGTGTTTAAAAATTTCAAAATTAAAATAAACCTGTGCCTCACAGATCAAACGCAAAGCTAATAGCGTTCTTCCAAATGGTAAATCCAGGAGAGGTAGGAAAACGCTTAACATGCTGTAAAATATGTAGAGCCTGAATACAACAATAGCTTGTTGTCTGATCTAAATTAATGTTATCACTTACCCTATTAGCTTCTAAAATTAGAAAATCGACTTACCAATTACTCGTTCACTTGTGCCCAGTTTCTTGAAATAATACCAGGCAAATTCTCGCCTCAATCGGTTGATCAAGTAGCACAGAATAAGCCCTCGCAGCACTAGGATGCCAACGTGCACCATTTTAAACGCGAAATATAACCCTATCTCGGAAGAACTGCTCAGGAATGTTATTGCCAGCGTATAGAAATATATAATCGGGTATAAAAGCACCTGATCAAAAGTTTTCATAATAATTCCTTGCACTAAAAATGTATTCCCTAGGAGAAGTGTTGATCCGTGCACCAAATACACTTGGTTATACTGCACTCCTCCGACGAAATACACTGATATTCCAAATGAAGCAAGTTCGAGTAATAATAAGGCACATAGAATGACGATGTAAAACATTTGCTTCTCTTCATTGACGAGTGCTTCCCGATTGAACATGGGGTGTGTTCTCGAATCATGTCTTATCCCACAAAAATCATTGTAATCACTGATGCAATTTAATTTTTGAGATAAACGGAAATCTGATGCACAAAATGGTAGATGCAAACAGATCCGATATAACCTTTAATCCTATGTTTACAGTAATAGGCATATCCGCTTGCTGTGATGATCAAAATCTCGGTTGTACTCCGTTTCTGTCATGAATCTATTTTGTTTGAATATCAAGGTATATTAATTTGCCGATGAGCTGTTATCAAACATTGTTTTTATCAGGTTTTTTCAAATCATTTTCTTTCCTAATGTGTGAATTCTTAGCAGGTAGGTTCGTTCAAATATACAAAAATTAAATTTTTTTGTTAATTACATCAGTATTATTGTAAAATGAGTCGCAATTCTGCCCAATACGGAAAAAGAAATTCTTTGCATCCAACATGCGTTACTATTGGTAGTGTTGTAGTGTATGAACAATACCATCGATATTAAGCACACTTAATACAACATTATCGTAGCATCAAGCGGAAATGAGATTCGTTTGTGGTATGGCACCGGTTGTAAAACTAATGCCAATATTTAGCGCTAACAAAGACGAAGGCGTAATACAGCGAAAAGCATCGGTGAATTTATGATATAAATGAACAATTTTATCAAAAAGTGCATATTATGCTGGACAGTACTCAGCATGTGCTAATGTTGCCTGAAGGGAGCATCAGCACTTATCATGACAGAGTTAAAGATAGAAGTAACACGATTTAGCAACCTTATTACCAAAAATTTCAATAAATCTCAAAATTGACGAAATACACTGTTGAATTCCGTTGGCGAGACCAGTGAACTCATTCGTTGAGCTAAGATCGCTCATGTAACAAGCACATATGTGTTAAAAAGCGAGCATAACCTCAAGCCACAGATTGTGGTGATGGTATCACAAGTACCGATTACAAACAAATTGCATTTCACCAGGTTTCATGTATTGTAAACCAGCTGATACTTTTTCTTAAAATGAAAGAGGAGTTAGAATGGATTGCTTTCCATACACCCACAGTTACCGACAAAGCAGAGCGTAAAACGCAACCAATGGACGTGTTGTAACTGACGCATACGGACCCATACTGCGTTGCGTAAACACGAAGAGAAAATTCTACATAGGTTCACAGGCACTGTTGTCAATCATGAAGAAGTGCACTTCCTTGCTAGTATAGAATAGTTTATATGTGATCACAATATGGAAGTAGGTGCTGAAATAAAAAGAGAAAGATCATGGTGTAATACTTCATATTCGCTTGAGCTGCATAGTAAATCACAAACATAGTCCGTTTTTGAGCGTGTATTGGCAGAAATAGACACCAGAACTCATCGGAAATAGGAACGGATATCTTTATAGTCTGTGTGATGCATTTATCAGAATGTTTGTCGATAATTGCAGAAATTCCTATAAATAGAACGGCAACTAGCAACATAATAGACATCACAAGACGATCAGAAAATATATATGTGTGTTTGGCCCTTATACGACATCAAGCCTACTGGTAATTAACGCCGTACCTGGTTGCACAATATGTGCTGCCAACTTTATAACCTAACTCCTGATATACTCCACGGCATATTTCAACAAATGATCGGAAATAAAAGCAATAAAGAATGCAAACATACGATTAGAAACAAAGAAATTGATAAATTTATCATTTTGACAAGTGATATTTCGAATCAAATCCTCTCTGATAGCAGCATAGCGCTTAGAAATGAAATATTGAGAGTTATGCAGTAATTACATTAGAAATCTGACATGCTGGAGTAAAATTTTCTGAACAGCCGGAACATCAACCAAACTTTTATCAGGCGAATTAGAAGGAGAACATGACGGAAGTTGCCCTAACAATCAATTGCTCGTATAAAACACGCATTAAAAAATCATCGTATAATCTTGAAAACATCATGTCGCCCAAATTGAATATTGACAATAAGCTAAACCAGTTACACACCAAAATCGTTCAATGTGTTGTGAAGAAGATGAGCATTTCTACATGAACGAATACTTGAAAATAGAGTATTACTTGCAAATTCACTCCCGAAGGTGATTTTGTTTCTGTTAGTATAAAAAATGAGCTGGATAAGCTCGAGAAAAGTAGATTCCAAGATTTATTGTTGATGAGAAGGTTAACTCAAATTCATATCGTGACCGGTTCTTTATCAATAAAAAACTTAATTAATGATTCTACACAATCTACGAGAATGCAACAGGAAAAGTACAGAAATATAACATACTAACAAGGAATGTGAGGGCAATAGAGAGAACGACGGCTGAAATAGCATTAGATGTCATAAATTGAGACAAGTTAACCACCAAGCACAATAATAATACGGAGATATGACAGAAATCACCGACCAAACGTGTAGATAAACATAAGGAATAACAAAGAAATAAACTGAGGAAAGAAAGTATGAAGAAAGTACATAAATATGAAATATTCTAGGAAGGTTAAGTATGAGAATGCGCTAAATAACAAAACAAGGCAAGTGAAGAAAATCTACCATTACAAGACTCTTTCGCACAAATTATAACTGTAATGGCAACAACCAGAGAAATGCGATCAAACTCATAGAGCATTTTAGCTAAAATTGAGCTTGATACAATTGGAAACCCGAGACAGTTTATAGAAAGAACATTAGCTCAAAAGCCGGCAGATTAGCCATAAAAATGGTGTCAATAAATATGCTATTGACAGATACCTTAAAGAAATTGGAAAGCTATGATATGGTCATTATTACTCAACGCATTTTATATTATAGAGATCCACCCGGGTGTTACCATATGAGAAGCTCGCTACGATAATTTATTGTTGCTATTAATCCTGTTAAATGATTGCATGTAGTCTAGTGTTGGTTTTTGGTTACCAAAATTCACCTTTTTATCTGTAAAGCGATACTGTAGAGCCGACAATCACACACCGTGTGGTACACTTGGCAAAGAGATATATTCAGTCATAATAAGCTTCTTCCTGTTGTTTGGTATGTTTCTGTAGCATAGAGGTACGAAATGCAAATATTTTTATAGAAACGCTAATTAGGACAATCATACATTATGAATTAACCAGTCGGTATCATAGAATAATGAAGATTTTTCTATTTAATACTGCATGTTGTTCGCTTCTGCGTAGCATTGTTATATTAGTGTATGTTAAATGCAGCCAATGTCCTGACCGCCGTATTAAATGTATGTAGATTCGTGCCATATAAATGGTATTGCTCATAAATTATGAAAAGCAACGTAGATTTGCTGGGAATGTAGCAAAAAAACGAAGGCTCACTACAAATTGTCGGCACATGGCGGGTTAATAGTTGAATTGTCTGCTAAAGATGCACAGAACGATACTAAACGAAATATTATATAGCAAGAGACGAGTCAAAGAAAATTATTGACAAGATATAGGCATATTAAAAAAATTATTTGCTGTGAGAAGTCTATAAGTTGCAATGAACGGCAGTTTAAGAGTTATCTGCCTGGATATTCGTATGTGAACTGCAGCAAATAGGAAAATCTTAAGGTATCACAGATATGACTGTCATGCGGTCCAAGTAGGGAGCGAAATGTTCGCGCTATCGCCATTCGTTGCTCAAATTACTATTAAGCGCAATGTTGAAGAATGATGCTTGAACAAAAAACTTCATTTAACAGTTTATACAGATAAATTTCTTTGTCTAGCATCACCACCTTTACTTATTATTTTTCACTATCTTCATGCATTGAGTTTTTCCAGTCAAAATATCTTTGAGACCGCTTCCAAAGTTGCGCTCATCTCTCACGAGTATAATCGAAAGTATTAGAATGATCAGTAATCTGAAACCATTCGTTACGTACACCATGCAATAAATTAGAACATATACTTACGTTTCAAGAGGGGCATGAGTAATTCCAATAATGATACTATCAATTATTGTGAGTATCAACTCAATTAGAATGACAATATACAGTACCCTGCGTGCAATGGTATTTTCTTCGTGTTTAAAAGTTTCAAAATTAAAATAAATCAATATTTCGCAAGTTATATGTAAGACAAATAGCACCTTACCAAACGGTAGATCCAGGAGAGGTAGAAAGATATCTACAATAGCAAAAAATATGTAGAGCCTGAATACAACAATAGCTTGTTGTCTGATCTAAATTAATGTTATCACTTACCCTATTAGCTTCTAAAATTAGAAAATCGACTTACCAATTACTCGTTCACTTGTGCCCAGTTTCTTGAAATAATACCAGGCAAATTCTCGCCTCAATCGGTTGATCAAGTAGCACAGAATAAGCCCTCGCAGCACTAGGATGCCAACATGCACCATTTTAAACGCGAAATATAACCCTACCGCAGGAGAACTGCCCAGGAATGTTATTGCCAGCGTATAGAAATATATAATCGGGTATAAAAGCACCTGATCAAAAGTTTTCATAATAATTCCTTGCACTAAAAATGTATTCCCTAGGAGAAGTGTTGATCCGTGCACCAAATACACTTGGTTATACTGCACTCCTCCGACGAAATACACTGATATTCCAAATGAAGCAAGTTCGAGTAATAATAAGGCACATAGAATGACGATGTAAAACATTTGCTTCTCTTCATTGACGAGTGCTTCCCGATTGAACATGGGGTGTGTTCTCGAATCATGTCTTATCCCACAAAAATCATTGTAATTACTGATGCAATTTAATTTTTGAGATAAACGGAAATCTGATGCATAAAATGATAGATGCAAACAGATCCGATATAACCTTTAACCCTATGTTTACAGTAATAGGCATATCCGCTTGCTGTGATGATCAAAATCTCGGTTGTACTCCGTTTCTGTCATGAATCTATTTTGTTTGAATATCAAGGTATATTAATTTGCCGATGAGCTGTTATCAAACATTGTTTTTATCAGGTTTTTTCAAATCATTTTCTTTCCTAATGTGTGAATTCTTAGCAGGTAGGTTCGTTCAAATATACAAAAATTAAATTTTTTTGTTAATTACATCAGTATTATGATTTTCATATAGTAGATATAATGGGTATTCATCTGGTGTATTATAAATATACGAAAATTTATGTGTTTAGTGACGGACAAACTTGGGATTTGTTCACCAAATCTATTCATTATGTTCAATATAGGGTCAGAAGCGCAAACTTGTTCTTTTCTTTGATCCAAGTCATAATAGTACACGATAGGCCGTAATATTTTACATGTATGTTGTTTAGAAGTGACAAATATTATTATTACGAGTTGGTACCGATATATTGAACCGAAAACGTTATATTTTTTCCTGTTAAATGTATCACATCCTAATATGTTCTTTTTAAAGATAATTAAAAATGTCTTTGTTCTTTCATGTAAATACTTAAACTCTCAATATAAGGAAGGTAATGCCGTAAGATAAATAATTTCATGATCACAAACTGCTTTACTACAATACCAGCTACGCTATCCCGTTTTTCAAAAATGGGTGCATCAATGGTATCATATATTAAGACAGCGCTTTTGAATACAACTAAAACGTTAGATCATTCCTTTCTACCAACTGTTCTGTGGTTACAAAATCAATAAATCACTTTCATTCCAGTAGCTCATTGTATACAACATTTCTTGTGTATACTTTACCATTCTCATGCTTTCCTTGGTCTCCATTGTCAGCAACATACACCCTCAGACCGTTTGCATAGCGCGCTCTCGACAAAGCTACGTACAACTGACCATGTACAAAGACAGAGCTGTGCAGATAAACACCTACCTTGTCAAATGACTGACCCTATGACTTGTGGATTGTCATCGCAAACGAAAGAAGAACCGGAAACTGTCTTCTCTTGAGTATGAATGGCAGCTGTGTCTCGCTCGGTGCCATGTCGATCCTTGGTATCACTGCCCTGCTATCTTTCCTGGATCCGGTTACAATAGTAGCCATGATGAAGTTTGTGTGGAGTTCATCAACCACCAGGCGTGTGCCATTGAGCAGGCCATTGGCTGGATCAAGGTTGCGCAATAGCATTATCAACGCACCTCTTTTTAGAACTAACTTGTGCGGTGGCATTCCTGAAGGCTGCTGCTTGTTGAGAAACTCTAACGGATAGTTTGCAACAACATCGTTGTCCTCTGTGACAATAGAGTCTGCACTCGTGTATGTTACTTCGTTGCCGATCATCAAGTCAAGGACCCTGTCATTGATTTCCTTTGCAGCATCGTTGTTTGTTGTGAGTATAGTTCTGTTCGTCAGATCTTCGCTGTCAGCCATGTTGGCAACATCACCATATATCTCGTCAACGATGTCCTCGCCTGCAACATACTGCTGCGGAATCTCAACCAATGATCTCTCATCGGCGAGGCCGCTTCCGATATCCAAGAGCCAACTGCTGAACTCTTCCTGGTCTGCGGCTCTCATATTCTGTGAAAGTCTCAGTATGTTTACAAGCGAGTCAACAATTATTTGATAGATTGCTAATACAAATTAAAAAAATGAAATATTACTAAATACAGGTTAAATTTACTTATCTGGTCGACATGCACGAAATGTTCAGATTAGCAGCCAAAATATTCTCGATCTGCACAAAAATAGTATTTTACACAATATAACAGCTGAGGGCACGTCAATAAAAACTTGAAAGCCGACAAAATCGAATTTTTTAGTTTATTTCACCAAATAATTTTTTTGATATCGCTGATTAAAATCACAAGATTATCCATGAGGAAGTACATACCAACGTTAAAGAACCGTCCATAGAAATATTCGTTGCCAAATTTGCTTCCGAACCACCACGTTCCCACAAAACTACCTAGAAACGCAACTGAGTTTACCAACAGGTATATGTCATCACAGGGCACATGGTGTACTATTCGTGGCGTAAAGAAATACAGCAGAACGGAGAACAAAGAATTGACATTGATCCGGTCGGAAACGATGAAACATGTCATGTAGTCGATTGTGCACAGGTCCATCGTTCTGTTGCTAGCGAATATGCACGAATAGAAGTATGCGATCCGTTTCAGAATGTGCGATTTACGGATGTTCGATTTTGTACCTGTGCAAGGACCTGAAATGGGATAGAAAATGAACAGAGTCTCTTTTATGGGGTAGATAAAATACTTCAGGAGACGGTGATTGACAGAAAGCATTGAGATGATCAGTGTGCGATAGGATGACGTGCCCTGGTAGAAATAGCGTAAAACCAACACATGAATGTACGGGTAGGAGGTAAGAGATATGAGAAATGATGCGGCAGACTCGAAAATACTAAGCTGAAGACGAAAAGCTCTATGCACTTTATCGCACAGATATGACAGCAAAACGTGTACAGACATTTTCACGTGTTCCACTGTGTTCATCGTGTCGCTTGTTCTACTATTGCCCCTTGTTCCCAATATACTTGTGTCTTGGTCTGCAACACAGCCCTTCATACCAATAGCGCTGCTTGAATGGTCATATAGACTATCAGACGGTAAAATTTCCTGTAGACCAATATCCTCCTGTTCACATTTATTGTTTTTACGCTTTCTTGTCCTTTCTAGTGAACAGCAGTACCGCACGTAGTGCAAAAGTCCCAAAAAAATTATCGCGTTGTTCTTGCTCATTAATTCGAAAATGCCAATCCTCTTTCCTTCAACCGGGAACTTTCCGATCTTCAGGAACGCTAAAGCATAAAAAACACCGTGCCAGCTGCAGTCCAGCGCTAAAAAGAGCAGGGACCACAGAATATCCTCATGTATGAACACAGGTATACTGAAAGAAGGAGCAAGACATGTCAGTACTGTGATTATCACCTGAAAAACATCGTACTGCTTAAATTTTATCCTTTTTAACTGAATAATGATGTTAAGCACGCCTATTAGTATACCTAAGTAGATGTAGGGTGGATTGCTTCCAGCACACTTCTCGTTGAGAATGTGCGAAAGAGAGTGGTTCAATGCAAACACTTGGTGAAAGGAAAGTGCACTGATGTATTTCTTTACGTGTTCTAGAACGTAATTCATTTTGTTTGTATCATTTTGTGCGTTTTTTTCCGTTTTGTTTATCAAATTGTACAATTTTACACATTTTCTGACTGCTGAGTCGTAAAAATGCCCTTTACCCACCAATTCGTAGATAAACGTTCCTGTGCTGTAGAATGGAATGGCTTTGCCCAGCAGGGCACAGATCGTTGGCATTATGTCGTTTTGATGAACGTAGGAAACGCCATTATTCGTACTGTTGCTTAAACAGCGATCGGACTCGGGCCGTATGCCAGTTTTTCGATCGGCATGCGCTGCCTGTGTCGTTGATATGTGTCGTCTTTTGGCATCAATCCACTTCTCGTTCATATCAAACTGCCATTTGTAGCTTTCCTTCCTCACCGCTTCACACACATCGTCTTTCGTCCCGTCGATTCCTCTTCCACAGAAAAACACAAAACTCGCCAATTGCATGGCACGTGCGCCGCCATGACCACCACTGTTCTCCACTCCATGATCACTAGTCACAACCAAAAGTGTGTCGTCATCCAGTCCGGTTATCAATTCTCTGATAAAATCGTTATACGTGCGCAGAACATCTCTAATATCCTTGTGGTGGATCGTACCGTACTTGTGTCCATAGTGGTCCAAGTACACCAAATGCCCGACAAGCAGCTCAAATCCTTCCATCTTGCACTCTACAATCTCTTTCATCACCTTCTTCTCATCATCAAAGTTGTGGCCCTGTTCGTAGCTCTCCAGGCAGCACGTGCCTGCCAAGCCAGGAAAAAGATCTTTCCACATTTTGTCACCGTACAGGACAGTTTTGAATTTGCCTACCATATTATCTTCTGGAACAGGAATATGCTGGAATGTTGTCAGTCCGTGTCTATAATTGGTGGGTATGCCCGTTACCATGCTTTCAATACGTGTTGACGTGCTGGTCGGTATGCCTGCTATCGAGAGGTGGTGAGTGTGCGGGTGTGGGTGGACAAACAGGGTGTTTACAACCGTGAAATGGTCCGTTACGTTTATATTAACGTGCTTTGACAGAAAATGGTTGAATGTACGGTGTGATCCTTTCCTGGCACGATCTATCCTGTAAGCGTGTCTTTCAATTCCTTTCTTACCGTGTAAATGTCCCTTTGCGCAGTATTCGCACTTTTTATCCGCAATGCTTGTTATGAAATGCTCAATCATCGCCATATAAGCATCGGCAAGCCAAAAACTGTACCTCATACCCTCAATAACATTTTTATCATCAACCCCGAGCAGTACTCGTGTATGAAATTGCGCTTCAAATACGGGCATGTTATTGTAATACAGACCGGATTTGTGAGTTGCGATTGTGGCATCGTAGCGCAGACCGTCTAAAATTATAAATTTGCATTTTTTGTACCTGTGCGTTTTCTTTTGGTTACCGATTCGTTCCTTTTTATTTTTGCACCTGTTTCTGTCTTTTTCTAGCAAACTTCTATCACTTCCCTCTCTGGCACCACAATCTTTCTTCTCCCTTGCACATTCATCTCCGTACCTTTCCTGCATTTCACAACCATTCATTTCATCCATACCATCACCGAATATCACATCGTCTCCAATTGTATCGTTCATAGATGGTAAAGTCCTAAAAAGGCCATACGCAGCAAAATAAGCACAGACAAAGTTTAGAATCTGTGGTAGCATCGGTTGGGGTCAGGCCAATATTTTATATATTTAATGTCCTTGTTGTTTCAAACTGAGCGAGTGCAAAATGGTGCGGGCAAACAGATCGAAGTAGAACAAACTCAATGGAACGGTAGAATGCGAACTGTTAACGTTCAATTGTACACGCCGCCCAGTTGTGCATACTATGCTCTGTAATGAAATGCTCATATTTTCGTTTTTGTATTAATTAAACATTTGCAATTTTGTCATCTTGGGATGAATGTATCACAGGACTGTGTACCATTCTGTAAAGGAACTACAGCGATAAAACATATTAAACGTAAATTGGTTGTAAGGGTTGAAGGTAAGGTGGTGGGAAAATATTTTTGACGAAAAAGCGTAAACAATTCTGCCAGCCCGGTGTTAAGCAATGTACTTTATCTACTGTTGGCATCGGGAGTGACAGTTTAAACAGAACAACTAGGACTGTAAGCGGTTTAAACGTACTTTATAAAAAATGCCGTTCTATTAAAAAAGTTTCTACTTCATTGTTACTTTTCATAACTGGAGAGCAAAAATCTTTGCTTTGTAACGAAATAACGGGCATAATCTTCTTATTTTACCGTGTAGCATTTGATATGTGTGATATTCCAGGTATAGAAGTACGTCAAACTTAGTTTAATTTAAAGTTTACAGTAAATCGCCATATTTTAAACTGAGTTCAACCCATCAACTGCATTTGTAGAGATCCTTGATTTTTCCTGAAAATATTTGCAAATTCTTTTTTCGCCAAAATATATTATTTACTCGACTTGATGCTCCTTACGTTGTATTAGGTAAGAAAGTCTTCTCCACAACAATTTATATCCCTCCAATCATAACACCCTAGAAATAACCAATGATAATTCATAACAAGCAGTCAAGACCGGACAATGAAAACGATGATCTAGAGCTTCTCTTCAATCTGAAAGCAAATCACACATCAAAAGAAGACTTGGTACATCTTTTACAGCTCATGCCCGATGATTATGCGCTGGTCAGCGAGTTGAAGAAATTTGGGTTGGACGGGATGGTAAAGGTAAGTGAGAAACTGCTCGCCATGAATGTAAAAGGTTATAGCGCATGGTATTATAGAGAATGGGTAATGAGGAAGTGTGCTGGTAGTTGCCGTGAAAAGATGCCAGACGAAGCTAAAGGAAGACAAACGTGTGATGATTGGTGGGATGGTGCCAAGCTTACAACGATCATTGGTAACACGTCAAAAAAGGAACAAACTGCACCCGAAGAACGCAGAGAATTGCTGTTAATCAGGCAGCTGCTCGTTTACGACAGCAGAAATTTTCATTGCTGGAAGTATCTGCTATCGATGAACAAAACAACCGAGTTTGCCACGTTTTGTCTTAAAAATGACATTCAAAACTATTCAGCACTTCATTACGTCCGGGACCACGGACTGACGTATTGGAACGGACTCGTTGAAGCACAAAATGAGGGCATGTTCTACAAAATGAAGTATCCGAAAGCGTTTAGGATGCGAATAGTGCGATCAGAAAGCAGATATGACTTTGCTTTTCTATTTAGAGAACTGTTTTATGGAAGCATACTGTGGGAAGGAAGATCCCTGGCACTGAACGGTGAGATATTTTACGAAATCAAGAATGTGAGCACCGATAGGGTGTACACGCAGCTAAAATGTGACAAATGGTCATACTCTGGTTGGTTACAGTGGGGACACGGTGATTGCGGAGATGTGAATGTAATTGTTGAAGGTCCGTGTATGGGTTGTGATGAAAGGATTGCTGGCGAACCGTGCAGTTGTAAAAAGAAAAGCAACGGCGTAAGCTCAGGCGGTAATTGGAAAGGAATCAGAGGCGAGCGCAGTAATTTCAAGCAGCAAAAACACGAATCTGAATCTTCCAGCTGTTCATGTGATGACCATATCATAACAGCGGTGTACGAGAAGGAAAAGGTGGTGCTTAACGATCTGAAGGGCACAAACAGGTTTTTACTGGTACGTCTGTTGGAGCGTATGAGGTGTCACAGGGCAATGATGAAGAACAAGTTGAAGGAGTTGGACGGGATGAGAAAAAATTTCTATGAAATTATTAATTGGTGGGAGGTTGATGTTCATGATGGTTTACAGTACAATAGAAGGAATAAACAGTGAAATGTGTTTATTAATTCACATTGTGGTGGAGTAAGTAGCCGATCTGTGGTAATATTGGCAGTTCGTTGTAGTTAGCATTCCTATAAAAAATATTTATAGTTTGTGTCCTATGTCTACGTTAGACATGCTGAACAACAAGAAAGGTGTAGTTTATCGATGATATTTCTAAATGCGAGGAGGATAAGAGTAAAATGTGTGGCATTTACTTCGGAAGTGCTAATTATGGATCGAATACCAAACATGTTTTCTTTGCTACGTAGTAGGTTTTTAGGAATTATCTTTTTTTGAAAATTCTTGGAAAGAAGCGTTTTTGAAGTGCTTCTGGGGATATTGCTCAAACCACGGCTTGTGAGTTAAGGTCATTGCTACGATTGCAGCATGCCTTTATGTTATGTTGATGATGTACATAAATGTACTAGCAAGCTGGTGCGCTGATTTCGTCTATGAACCAAGGATCAATTATTACGTTCGGTCCAAGTGGTACAAAAAAGCATGTTGGTTTAAGTTGTTGTAAAAAGATGAATAAATGTACTTTATTTAGAATCATTCTATCCTTTAGACCCTGTAGAGCAATTAGATGGTGAAGAGCATGTAATACGTTATTTATTGCTTTAGAATACATGATTGGGCACGAATTAGTTAAATGATTCTTCCAAGAATATCATGCTGTGTACTTTCCTCTGTGGTCAACATCTGAACAAAAAACCTGATGTGAATCATTTGTAAAACTTTTTTACCAACATATTTATTCATGGTTTTGTGTGATGATAGCGAATTGCAATAATACTCGTGAACGTGTGTGTAGCATGTATAGATTAATTATTATTGATTATTTGATAGATAGTCCCGCTCCACGGTAATTGAGTTGTGCAAGATATGTTCGTTGGTAAAATACTATACAGTAACGTTGCCGTACGAATTGCTTTCTTTACAATTTCGTAATTTTATTAGATTAAGTGCTAATTTTATTGCCGGCTGATCAATTCTGGGAAATTGACAAAAACAACTGGAGAAGCGGGGAACCGAACCCCGGACCTCTTGCGTGCAAAGCAAACATTCTACCACTGAACTACTTCCCCGCGGAAGCACGATCAAAAGATAATACAAGAAAGCTAAAAATAATGTTGCAAGAACCGATGAAGCGAGATCACAGTACACAAACCTGGTAATAATCAGCACTTCATAAATGTTAAGGTTTACTATTTCTGCCAGTGCAAACGGGGAATACCTTGATCTCAATAAATGTTACCGTAGGAACCATTCAGAGCACAACCAGACTCAATAGCCCATTAATTACGTTTTTCTTCAGAGGGGTCGCAAGTCCTTAACATCGAATTTACTTACCATAGTTCCTTTTTATCAACGTTCAAAGTTATTTATTGCATCAGTCTGCTCTGCGTACTGGCATAACCACACTATCATTGCCGATTATTCCTGAGCAAGAGCAATTTCAATTCCTTTTTGCTGTCATACTTTAATTCGTACCATTAGAAGCCCTATTTAAGCTAAAATTTTACGGAACAGGTATTAGCGTGCAAGAACATGCTTTGAACACAATTACTACGGTGATATTGAAGTCAATGCATAGGTTTAGTTTTTTCATATTGGAAATGGTTATTATCTTCTCGGTGGAAACATGCGCTGTTTTTACGATCACTTTGACTTCAAACACTCATTCTCGCGTCAAGGAGAAAGCATATCGACGTAGAGTGCAAATGTTGAACTAAATAAAAAGTGTTGAACGCATCGATTCCGGCCACTTATTAAATATTTTGCCTTCAACTGCGTGCAACTGAGCTTGATGCATCAAACGTCCAAATACTGTTTCTTTGACCATATTGCTTATTTTTCTCTTCATACAACATCCAAACAAACGCAATTTTCTGGTCTGCTAGCCTTTAGTTCATGGATGATCTGCTGTTCATACTCCGTATTATCAGCGATTGCAAGTCATTTTTAATATTTTATGGTAAATACCAATGAGATTGCGTAGATGCACAATCTAAAGATCTAAACACGCAGAACGACTGTGACAGCAGCTTATTACTAAAACAAATCATATTAAGCACAGCTAACCACTCTCTCACTATGGAAGTGATGGCACTACGCTGACATTTCTTTATATACTCGTGTCATCGGCATGCTATGATAAACCACGAGAGTTATTTCGGATGCATGCACAAACTGTCGCATTATCTGTCGTTGTTTCAGCTCGCTGTCAATCGCGAGGTTCCAACGCTTAAAAAGCGTCTAAACGACACAGAAAAAGACATGATACGTGCGGGCAGCACGTACATATATTCGGAGAGCGAAAGCGGTATTAGAAGATGGACAGACAATTTGTCATGGACACCCTCGCGTGCAAGTAACGAATGCGTATTCTACCAGGAGATTGCCAGCCACACCCAGCCGATGCTAAAGAAAGTGGTAACTGCCACGATCGACAAGAACAAGTGGCACATTGTGAACTACAGCACGGTGAACGACGAAATAACGGGCACATGCTGTGCAAAATACCAGGCGGTGCACGATGTGCCCGTCACACACAACATTGTTATTAAAGCAAAGGTTCGGTGCAGCAGGAATACACTTAGAAGATCGCTGAGCAGAAATTACGTGAGGAACAGGACCGAAAAGATCTACAGCTTTGTGGATGAGAGCGAGCTGTTCGGGAGACGGTTGAACATGAAAGTGTTGGCGAACAAAAACTATTTGTATAGAAGAAAGAGTGAAGAGACGGAAACAGATGAGAACGAGAATAATGAGTATGATACCTTTGACTATGAGCGTTCTTGTTATGATTAAAAACGGTTTGATACAGTCTATTTAGCAGCTTTGGTGTCCAAGAGAACGGGCAGACAGGATTTGATATATGCAGTGTTGTAGGCCGAGAATTGATCGCTTTGAGGAGTGGTCTAGTGTAAATTAAATGAGGAGTGGCATTTTATTCAATGTTAGAATGGCGCGTATTTCAAATGCACCTGATATAAAACACGTTACCTGGCAGACACATCGCTTATAAAGCAAGTGATTAGTACGGCAAGTTCACCGTTCTTTAATATTGGTAAATCTTAACGTTTATCAAATCTGATACTTAGCATTCATACAATTCTATTATAACGGTATTCTTGGCAGATAATAAGCAACCTATTACGTTCTGAACTACATTTCCGTTTGTAAAATTCGTTAGAGTTGCACAAATGCAAACGTATACTTAAAATGGATGTGGTATTACGGTAAAAAGATTCCTTCTTCAGTAGTAGAGGAGCAGCTGTGTCATATTTGACCATACTTGTTACTTAACTATGAACTAGTTATGTTTTTACCGATTCTATCCCTATTTAAGATCAATAATGGCTACATAGCCATGAAAGGAAGATAATATAGTTCAAAAAATATTAAGGAATGGTATAAATACACAGATTGAACAACAGTAAATTATTGATTTATTAAGATTTAATGTAAAAATTTATAGATGAAGATGCAAATGAAGGCTGCTATGACGTGAAATGCAACAAAAGAGTGTGATGACGATGTGTTAAGGAATTTTATCGTCATTTAGGTGTATTTTGATTCTTTTGTGCGCTTATAAGAGTTGTCTCTCGCTGTGCAATAGAGGTAAATCTTTCACAGATCAGGTGCATATTTCTGAGAGGACTACTGAACATCCCGTCATTTTAGAAAAGTGTAATAGCATGCTTTCGCTAACATTCATTTGTAACAAAGTCTTGTATTAATTGAACAAGGCCAACACACAGTTCGAATATGCTGTGTTTGTTATATTGTGAGCTAAAAACTAAATTAATTAATTACAAGAATGATCTAAACTTGCCGATAAATTTGATGATATACTAAAATCAAACGTATTTATAAGAATCAAATCACGTTTCGTACCTTTGAACCGGCTAATCATATTGGATGCAGACATTTTTATTTTATTTCTTGGTTCTGTAGCTTTTCTATCCTTTTTACTCTCACTTTTCCTCCTATTCTGCTATAGCAGGAAGAACGAACGGAGTAAAATGTTGAAAATGTTGTTCAAAAGCAAAATCTGACATCGATCTGCAGATTCTATAACATTTTTCCATTTCTTTTAAGAAATCACTCGTTATTAAATCCTCTTCTAATAAAAATTGGCTGAAATTATCGTTATTCCGTATCACAAACAGCTTCATAAACTTAGACAAATCAAACAAATACGTTATGAATGTTCTGTAGAGTCGTAAATTATTTGTTTCTAGCCCTGACAGAGTGGTTAAACATGATATAATTTCGTAATGATATCGTTTAACCTCCTGAATATTTTGGTAGAGCGGTGTGAGAAAAATCATAGAGGACTCAGGTCCACTTAATACACTGTAATTCGCTAGTCCTGTGTATTTAAGCTGCATAAATTCCATATCAATCTCCCTATACTTTGTGAAAAGAATATTTGGGATATTTTCTAGTGCGCGATTTTCCCTTAGTGTCGCAATTATTTCTATGATGCTATCATAAGCATTCAATACATTTCCAAACGAGTCGTTAAACGGATATGTAGCGTACTTAATATTAAGAATTAAGCTCGATAGATGTTTATTCACGTAAAAACGGTCCCATTGAACCTTGTCATCCAATTCATACAAGTGTTTTGTACCAAACCACTGTGTATCAGACGATAAAACGAAGCCAAAATGACATAATAATATGATAGTAACGATTATAACCATTTTATGGGTTGCATATCTCTTGTTTCATCTTATAGCATACCATTATAGCAATAATTCACATTAGGAAACTTGCTCAAGAAGCTCTTACAAGAGGAAGAATCAACACCAGGTCAGATTACTAGTCTGAACTTGAGAACATATATCGATAAACTAGGGTCAATGTATTCATAAAGTGTCCAGTTCAAAGCATTCATATCGATTTGCTCAACTAAGCTGTAATCGGAATGACTCACGTCATGGATACTTCATTTTGGGTACGAATTTAAAAAATTAACTTATAACAACACATTTCTAGTGTAACATTTTTAATCCTTTCGTACCATTTATATTTTTCGTTAAGCATTATTTTGGTAAGTTTTTTCAGCTTACCGTGTATTTTAAAGCGTAATTAAACGAAGATTTTTGCTCAGAAAAAGAATACTTTGCGTTCAAATCCCTAATTAACCAATCGAAATATCTTACTACGCTTATTACCACTTAATTTAGTCCTATTTTTATACCATCATTTTTTAATATAAAAATGACGTCCAAAGGCGGATTGACCGGTTCGGGAATAAATCAAAAATTTATATTTTTGCACAAAACAAAGAGTTACAGGTTGTTCTGTAGTTCGTTTTTTCTCAGAAACGCTCAACTATCGTACAACATTCAAATTAAATGATTACCAACAGAAATTGATTCATCAACCCTTATTGAAAGATTTTAAGCAAGTAAAAAAACATGACATGTTAAAGAATTGAAAGATCAGTTAATAGATTAAAAAACTTTATTCTGTTTTATAAACAGAAATAATGCAGCTAGTAAAATAAACAGTTGATAATTCACATATACCATTTATAGAATATATCACAATAGTGCTTTTGTGTAAATTCGAACCACTCGGATATCGTTGTAAAAATAAAATAAAAATATGGAAACTGATATAATGAAATTAGCTTTTTGTTTTGGGTTATAATTATTGTAGGGAAATCTTTTATTCGTTGTTTGTATTAGAGATTCATCATTTTATAAGATGTCTTCTTTCCAACTATTTTTGGATCCAGTGTATTTTTTGATGATGCTACAAAGTCAACTTTGGATTCAAAGCAATGTGCCCTACTTATGTATGATCTGTTTGTTAAGAACATTCTTTGTAGCCGAAATAATTTGCTTCCTAGCAGTATATTTATACTACCAATATATTTCATTTGTCCAGGAATTGGCTTTTACCAGCTGAATATAAAGAGCTTTTCCAAAGTCTTTGATGAGAATGAAGGTCTGTACTGATCCTACTGAACATATTATTAATATTTAATGATGCTGATACGAATAAGTTAAGCCGATAAGCGAGTAACAATTAAACTAATTTGTGCATTTATAGCGATCTGTTCTCAGTGTGCAGGAATGGAAATGTACATTGTAGGATTGGGTGTAAGAACATTTAAGTGTCAGATATAAACGCAATTTACAATAAAATACCGGACAGATGTGTCCTCTTTGATCATATGTTTGAACGGATTGATGATAATTCCAAAGAAGCACATGGCAGGAAGGAAAATTATAGTACAAGGCAGGGAAGCTTCAAATAGACAATACATAATAAATTGAATCTGGTCAATCATTTCCTGTAAAAAACTAGCATGTGATTGATCATCATCGCAACCATATCAGTGGATGGATCAGCTGCGAAATAAAAGAACACCAAAAAATATTTCAGTATTCTTGTGATAAATTTAATAGCATCACATGTCAATCACAGGCATGTTTGTCGGTACCTAAGGTGTTATTTCGTATTAATTTTACGAGTGCGTAATTTGTTAATTTTTACGATTTTCTCTTGGAGCATCTCATCGTTTTCAGACATTGTGAGGTATAAAATGATACGTTATCGATTCTGTTTCTCACAACAGAATAAAAAGCAATTGCGTAACCAATTCATCGGCAGGAGACGAAAGATTATTGATGTGTTATTGCAACGGTGTTACAACAATTACTTCCTTTACTATTCATATATGATACGTTTCTTGCCTTCTTGTATCTGTGATAATACCGAATGAGAGCAGTTTGGTTCAATTGATTTGTAATCAACAATTTGCTAAAAACTAAGCGAATTGGTTCTGTGACCAAAATTGAAAGTTCTTATACTGAAAAGGTGCCTTGGAATGAAACTTGTTGTGTAAAGCGATTTATGTTCGTGGAAACTTTCTCATAAGCGCAAATTAATAAAGTATAATTGAAATGCGGCGAAAAGAACGCTTCATTTCTGTCGCTCAGCTAAAATGGTTGAAAGTTCTTCTGATAGAATCGAATAGATCACTTTAACAAAACTAAAAATATAAAAGAGAAGAAATTCTAAGAATTATGGGATGTATAAGATTTTTTACCATGATCAGTTCTGTGTTTTTGATGAACAGAAAATTGTTAAGAGCGGTTGCAAAGCTGAAATAGGAATCGACTTTCAGGCAGTTAAAGAGCTTTCTGAGAAGTGTTTGCTTGCCAAAGAAAGTACTTTCCTTACTGATGCATATATAAAGAAAGATCTGGCAGAACAGTTTCACAGTACTTCAGGAGATGATGCGAGTTCCAAAACAGGTTATAACACGGAGAGCCTACGGTAACTAATAGTAGTGGTCTAACATCACCTACTGCGGAGCGCGCATCTAGTTCTTGACTGAGTATATTGAGTAATTGGAACTAAAAATAAGTTTAGGTAGCATGTTTAACATCCAAGTATTTTTTAATTTATGTTTTTTCCGTCGCTCTCACCAACGATGCACCAATTATTTACACGACATTTCGTCAACATCTGCAAAAATACAATGTGGTACAAAAATTAGTTTGTTCTAACAGTTCCACGGATAAATGTAAATATGTGATGTGGAAGTGCCTTTTCTGCTGCATAGAAACCTTTCAACACATGATTATGTCGAAAACCCTGTTCCCTCATTATGACAGCAATACCTCTTCAGTGGTCATACATGCTGTAAGTCCATGATGTTGTTGATTAATATTCTTCTCTAAGCATTTTTATCGAAAGTAGCACTTCAAGATTGTTTGTATTTTTGCTCCTCTCCGCTCGTATTTTCCGAACAAACCGTTCGTATCAAATGCTCCGTCTCGCATGTAAATACGTCTCTTTGCATTCTTGTACATTACGGCACGTGATCTGGCAGCACAAGATACCAACAATTCTCCACCATGCGTATAAATGATTTACAACACATTTTAATTCTCCAATATTCCACAATAATATAAAATTAGCTATTGCTAACAATTTTTGAAATATTATTTTACTCGAACACCGGTACCTAACTGTTCTGTGCTTTCTGAGGATGGCCAAAAAATTGGTAAAAATGTGTTTATTTGGATGAGGTTACCATGTGAAGTGATAAATTAAATATATTTGTTTTTAAATTGGTAAAAATTGTGTTTTGAAAATATAATTAATTACTAATAAAATGAAATTTGTGTCTGTTCGTATGCATTTGAATGATAGTTCCGCCAAATTTTACTGTTTTTAACCAAAAGATCACCATCAATCAAAAAATTTTCTCCAGTGCATTTATGTTACTTGTACATGTTAAATACCAGCAATAAATGTATAATTTCGCTATTTTTGAGACATTCATTTCAATTTTCAGCAACGCGCCATTGCTTGTTGTACAGTGTACCGATTACTGGGTCACAATATTTGTCTAAGAAGGTAGTTTTGCTGTAACAGCCACTTCTACGCTGTTCTTGTGAAGCGAGCTGGTGCCTTTCCTTAACAGTGATGTTTCTTCTCTTGCGGTCAAACCATGAATCACGATCAAAACAACACGAGCTAACACAAATTGTGTTTCACACCAAAGTATAAAAAAGGATTGAAATGATGGTGTTAATGAACATTCTGCATTTGATTAGTACAACCGCACTATTCACCTTTACATATGCTTTTGCTGGCAAAAAGCGAGATGGGAAAAAAGAGCAAAAAAATGAGCCGATGAATGCAGACGGAGTTATACTGCAACCAAGCTTTGGTATCCTTGATAAAAAGGATGACAAGAAGAACAAAGATGATGACACAAGGGATACATTCAAGGATAGCGATAAAATAGCGCCTATCTTCACGAAAGACAAAAGAGATGACAAAAATGGCAACGAGAACAAGAAGGAATCAGATGATAAGGATGAGGAGAAGGCATTTAACAATGAAGTAATGGGACAGAGCAGTTACAAGCCACCTATGGTAACGATGCTGCTCAACAAGAACAAGAAAGAGGAAGGAAGAAAAGCGATGTTGGCCGAGTATGACCAGCTAAGGCAGCGTGCAAGCGAGTCGTTGAACAACATCTACAACATTGTAACGACCATGGACAAGCTGGTGGATACGATGAAGGATGAGGATAAGAAAGGTGAGGAGAAGAAAAGGAAGAGCAGCGCACCTGAAGAGAGGATCGATTACAAAATTATTGAAGTTACCGATAACGATGGGAAATAAATAAAAACTGTTAGTGTTAACGTAATTGTTTTGCCTGATCTTTATGGGTGTATACTGCCTCATTTTAACGTTAAATAAAGATCTCTCATTAAATAATAGTGATATTTCTCAAAAGTGCTCAATTTTGGCCACTAAAGACTCAATACATACGAAATAGTTACTCTTACTGGATTAACCGTTGCTGCATCGAAAATTATTGTACCAGAAAAGTGTATTTTTCAGTTTTTAAGATATGGGAAGATAAATAGTAACGTATTTACATGAGAAAAGGGATCTCATTGTTGCATAATAAAATTTCACAAAAATCAATACCAGCTGGTGGATTGAGTGTTAAGATTAGTGCAAAGCAGTATTTTAGATACTATTGGCAAGATTAGTTTACAAATGTATGTGGTATTCTCGCCAGATCAGTAATTGCCTTTGTTGTAAGAAAGTGATGCGATATCCATCAATGAAAATGTTTCAGAGATTTGACAGAAATCTACTACTAATGTTTACGATTATTCCTGCGTTTTACACGCAAGAAGGTGTCTGCCTAGCGTTTGATGGTTTAAAGAGCAACCAAGCGCAAGCTTTATTTCGTGTATTGGTGCGATAATTGTGGTGGTATATGCTGAATAGACACGAATCTGGTATGATGCCCTAGCTCATGTATTTATTATTATTTGATGGCGTATACCACAAATGTATAATTAACATATCGTTTTGTGTAATACGTAGCTGCGCCTTTCTAAGCACCTTGTTTATCATATCTTGGACCTGAACCAAAAAATATGTTGTAATAATTAAAATGGACATTTTAAGTGATATGGTATATTAATGGATAAATAAATACGCTTTTCAAAGGCAATAACTAGAATAGGATCAATCTGGTGTTTGATGTGATTACGACTGGGATTGACTATCCTGGGCGGATTTAATATGGTTATAGTAAACTATTAAGGGATCAGATTACTCAGCCTGATCATTAAAGTCCACAAATCGTGTACGGCTTATCCATTAAAAATACTTGATATGGTAGGAGGTAACATGTCGGTAAAGAAATCTGCTTTTAGTGAAGAGATTAAACGATAACAGTGCATTTTAATGCATATAAATGGATATAAAAAACAAAATCGCATATTTGTTCTAGAACACAACTAATATAATCTATAAATAAGAAAAGTACGATGTGCACATGTTCATTTTGCATTTAAGTGTTTTATATTGCATCAAAACAGCGGAACAACGAATTTACAATCTGAAAACGAAACTATGCAAGGCTGTGAACAATTTTCATGTGGATGAAGATCACGTAGCGTATATAGAGAACTGTGCACAGGTTGAGATTGCAAGAGAGTTGCTGGTCAGGTATCAAACGGAGTGTTCGTTGCTCAAGTTGAACTTATGGAATGGTGTTAATGAGTGGAAGAATGCTGTTGGATCGTATGTAGCTGAAGTGGCGAAGGAATTTAAAACAAATGTTGCAAAATGGAAGGAGGAATGTATGGGTGGTGTTATAAGAAGTGCTCTGTGTGAAGAAAGGAAAGAAAGTGTCGGCATCAAGAATGCAAGGCCTATACTTGGAAATAAAAATGTGATGTGCAGGGGAGGAGAGGTAAGTGATACCAATATGCGAGGACCTGATAAAAGTGTAGGCACACACGGCAACGAGGGTTACAAATTTACATCAAGGTCCACTAAAACAAACATAGAAAACAACAATGGAAAGTTAATGAACATAATAGCAATAGTTAACGAGTTTTTTACGTTCAACAGAGACATAGAAACAATCGTAAATACGTATTTGGAAAAATTGTACCGAAATGTTTACGATCAAACGAACAGGTTGTTCGATAAAAACGATTTATTGGGAGGTCAAATGCTAAGTATTGTATCTAAGGATTTCGGGAAATATTTTCTGCCAACGGCTGCTAATAAAACATTCGTGAAAAGATTGCCAACGCATCTCAAATATTCTATTTGTAGTAAATTAAGAAAATATGAAAAAATGTACAATGAGATGATAGAGATGGTAAATTCAAGCGTAGCGAATTTTGTTAGAACATCACTATATGAACTATATGAAAAGTATATCATAGAAATCGAAGAATACCGGAGCAGATTGAACGAATCGTTGTATGAAATATTTTTGAACAATAAGAAAAAAATTTTAGATCAGTATGAACGGTTAGAAATTGAGTTTTGCAAGTGTTTCATACAGTGGTACAGCATATGATGTATGCAGTATAGCACACTGATGTTCTCATCGTTCAAGTCACGATTTATTACTAAACGTGGCTGTATACGTATTTTTGCTGGGTACGTACGGACTGCCAAAAGATACGCTAGTACCATTCTTAAAGTTATTATTGAACCACAAACTTTTATTTGTGTGTTTATTGAAATACTTGTTTTGTTTAATACATGATAGATAATATTAGTGATGTTCTCTGCGCTATGACAGGTTTGTGGTTAACCAATAAAATAACAACAGACTGCTCTAAGAACATGATGCGATGTTCAAAAAATATATTTATGAGCACGAATACTCATATTGAATGTGTATTTCAGTGGAAAAGATTGGTTACGATTACTTTTATTTTATCACACACGTATATTAGGCTATGTGTTTTTAATATGGCACATCATGTTCTTTATTCCTCTTTGCTAGTTAGCTTGTTGCACAGGATGGTTCACGATTCAAAATTTCTACGGTTGATGTGAGTTTTAGTATTTAGTTTTTTTACCCTCATGATTCAGATTAAGGATGTTCCACCTGTTGTACTGGCGATTCTGTTGTGTGCGTCTGTTGTTCCTCTGCTCGGCTTCATGTCGCCGAAGCTTGTAATGTATTTAGTTTATGACAAATCATACCTTAGAAAGCTTGAGCTATGGCGATTGTTCACCGGTGTATTCGTCACTGGTGTAAGTTTAGCACTGTTAATGAGGCTCTACTTCATTTACAAGTTCAGTATGCTAATATTGGAGTTCAAATGTTGCATCGATCATGTGCCTACAGAAATGGAGCTTGTTTTCTTTATGTTTACAATGTTTGTGCCGCTGATGATAGGGAACCAACTTGAGGGTATTAACACATTCTCGGAGTGCATTCCTATTGCATTGATAAGATATTTTAGTGAGCTTGTATCTGATGACTTCAGACTAAACTTTTTTGGTACGGTAATGTCTGCCAAGATGTACAGCATAGTGTCCTTGGTGATTGATTACGTACTTAATGGCGGTCGTTCCAAGGTATACTACGGATTTGTGTACGCACTGGCATATGTTTATTTGAGGAGAAATGTCTTTGGGGTGCCGGCGGTGTTCGTAAAGATGGTAGAACGAATTAAGGAAATAAAAATTGAAAGAATGTTCAGTCCAACTGGGATGGGACGAAGACTAGGCGACGGAAAAAGAAGCAAGAAAAAAGATTAAAAATTGATTTAACGGTTATATATGGCGCGTATTGTTTGGATTGCAGTACCTTTGGCGGTTGTTAATGAAATTCTTGTTTTGATCTTAGAACATGTTTCAGCTTGGCAACTACATCACTTCAATTGCTGGAACTATTGCATTAAGCATCGAGAGCACATAATATTCCAATTATGCACTGATGCTCTTCGAGTAAGCTTAATTTTGTGCATAAACCAGATGTTTAAGACAAATCTTCGTATTCGTTCTCATGATGCAAATGTATTGGTGACTGGCATGGCGATTTGAAGGAAGTGAATTGGCCAGCCCGTTTATTCTTTATACCATATGCCATATGAATTATCGGCTCATAGTGCTTACGTGCGTACAAGAGGGAAAGATCATCGCAAAATACATCATCATAATTGTAAAAAAGCAAATAATTCTCAAATAAAAAGTTTATCACCGTCTTATTATCAAAATAATGGTGATCGTTGTAGGACGGCTTAGAATAAAATATTTTTCCTAAATAGTGAAATAATGTGATTTGGCTGGTATGAGAAAATGAAAATATGTTGGCTGTTGAAAAAACATAGGGAAATAGATGCATATTGCCCTGAAATGCGGACAGATTGGGATCTAACCTGGGATGGGATACCAATGATACAGGAGTATTGACAGGAACTGGCGTAGTTATCTGGGTACACACCATAGATTCATTGCAACATGTATTTAAAATCATACTTCCATCGGTAATATCGTTAAAGCTTTGTTTGCTTTCAAATTCACCGCCTTTACACGGGTCCCTTTCCAATCTTTTTCTTCTTGTTGTAAATTCCGTATGCTCCTTTAATATTTTCCTAAGCTTCATCACACTTACCTTCCCAAACTTTATCAGCACCACATTTCTATTTTTTCCGATACTGTTGATACGCCGACTCTCTATGACAATATTACTTGCTGGTATATTTCTTAGATCTCTGATATCATCTGTGTCTATGTACGTAACATGTTTTTTAAAAAGTGTCTTACTGTTAAACTTATCAGGTTCCATCACATAATCCAGTTGTATTCCGAGCACGACCGCAATGCTCTTTATATGAAACGATTTCCCGGTACCGGTAGGTCCGTATATCAATAAAGGAGTATTTGAAAGACTCTGAAATGCATCGATCAGTTGTTCCAACTTCTTTTTCGATAATGTGGATGTTTTGTACAACGAGCCGAAGGTGTCCATCAAAAAATTTTGCAGAATTTCGTGCAAGGGTAGAAAAATACTTTTTGAGGTATAACCGAAATGGTGAATAAGTTTTGTTCTTGTTATTATTTCGCAAGATATTGGAAGTGAGTAACCGGGACTACATTAAGCAACAAAAACTTAGTCTATAATTTTCTAGAACATGAGTGTTACAGCTTGAAAATTCTTAATATTAACTTTTTAATCGCGTTATCATCATTTACTTACATTAATACTTCCTTTTGTGCCCCTTGTGCCGTAATTTTTCCATCGGTCAAGCTTAATGTCTTTTACGCTACTTTTCTCTTACCGTTTCCAACCACCATCAACATCGTGTTGAGCCCCTCCCAATCCGTTTATCAGATCGACACTAGTCCCAACACTTTTCTCGATCTTCACCATACATCTGTTTGTAATTGGCATTCAAATAATTTGTTATTTCTTCAATTACATCATCATAAATCGCAGGTATATCAACATATTCATTCAACGTCCTCATAACACCATCCAATACGCATCTTATACTCAATATATTTTGCCTTATTCTGTACAAATGAGTTTTAAACGTATCATAAAAGTTTGAAGCAGGATAACAAATTATACGATCATCAATAAAATTCAGGGTGATCAACTTTTCTGACAACTCTGGGATTTTCATCTTCGGATGGACATAATCAACGATATGTGCAGCGAAGGGGGCAAGAAATTCTAGTGCACCTCCTAAGGTTGCTGCCAACCTTGAAAGATCCAATACCATATATTTATCTGTGAGACACACATAGTACGCAATTTGTTCGGTATTTAAGCATCGCATGTACGCCGGCATTAGCGAGTAATTTTTACGTACGAAATTAACAAATTTGCAAGAGCCTGAATTGCAATTTTGTAATTGTTCGGCAGCACGAGATTCATTTAATATAGTATAGATCATCTCAAGGATCTTGTGTGAGTACATATCATAGAACGATAAGACCTCCAAGTTTTCATACAGATTCCTGCTCCATGCAAAATTTGGATCATCATTTGATGCATCGTTAGGCGTAACTCTTATTTTTTTTATTACCATCGATTCCTGTTGCCTAACAATTTTCAATTGCTGCGTAAATTGAATATAAAAGTTCAATATTGATAACATAAGCATGTTTTACTCATAAGGTGTCTATTTATACTTTTATCTCAAAAATGACATTCTCTCTTTACTTTCTTATCATGATATCGTAGTATGCGTGTTGAAAGGTCTTGGTATGCTCCCTTTAATAGTCTATTTTAAGATTACCATCAGTAAAATAAAATATTATATTTCTAAAGAGCATATATGTCTTATACACCGTTACAGCATTATTATTTATATGATTAATAATATTGAGTCATGATAGATTTACGTGTACAAGCTAGTGAACAACTTTAGCATGATATTCGTTTTGCCAAATAAGACTTTTTCATTCAATATGTTCGCTTTGTATAAAGTGACAAGTTTTTATCCTACATTGGCAAATGAAGAGAGTATTGAAAAACTAATATGGAACATCTATACGTTGATTATGCCTAAAATATGTATTTACTACCTAGACCACTTATCGATTTCCGTCATATGTTTATGGCTTATCAATTATCATTTCAAAAGTTTAATTTTATCAGTCTAATATTGTCCTGATATTTATTTAAGAATGGCCAACTATTAAAACGCTACTTGAGTTTGAATTTATGCAATTCTTCTTTGATTTTGTAAAACTCTTTATATCATGTACGTCTAGTGACAATATAATTTTATGAAATTATGCTTTCATGCTTTGAAATTTTCGCTTATATTAATATTACATTTTACTCTTGCTCAGCATACTTTGGCACACTAAAAAAATATCTCAGAAGAAACTATCTGTGCTATCCCATTTATTGAACGAAAGAAAGTTGAACTGCTTATTAAACGATATTTTCTTCCTTTGCCATATTATGTCTCTTTACTTGTTTTTGATCTTATAGTAAGAGTTAAAGGATTATTTTCTATTCAGTGATCACGTAATTTTTGAGTTGTTTGTAAATAGTGGCTGAGAGTATGGCAGAAAGAATGAGCTGCACAACAACTTTTGACTCTTCATGCAGTGCAGATGCATGAAACAAACATTTTATTTTTCCTAATAGGTTATTTTTTTGTTTCACAGAATTGACCAATCAGCTTCCGAGTTATCTTTTTTATATGATGTACTGTAATTTTTTGGATCGAAGGCTCCTAGGTACGATAATATTATTGATTTTTAAATGCCTCCTGGTCATTTATGTTTTACATATTCAGAAATTGATTTGTAATCCAGTCGGCAAAAACATTTACTTTTTATGCTAACAACAATAAAACTATCTCTACTACAACTATAAAAGTAATATAAGTGCTTGAACAAAGAAAGCTTCTTCAGGACGCATTCCAATTCATCAAGAGAGGTAAATACAGTTTTGGTAGCTCATTCTTCAAGCACAAATATAGAATAATGAGGAAAGTGATTGCAGATGAAGATGATAATGCGCATTGCAGTAAACTGCTGTGTGAAGCGGCTCTGCTGGAGAAAAAACAGGATTCATCTGGTGCTGAACAGATATTCAAATGCTTACTAAGGATGATTAACAGAGAATATCGGACAAAATCATTTGTTAAGTATTCAAAATTTCTAGTAAGAAAAGAATAGTTGCAGTCTGCGGGAAAGAACTATGGAAAAGCGATCGCACAACACTTGGATGTATACGAAGAATATTTGAGTATGGAACGGGTGTTGGGCGACAAGGCGAGAATAAGAAAAATTTATGAAAAGTACCTGCAGGATAGCTATATGGATGCATGTGTCTGGCTCGAGCTCATTGAATTTGAAGAGAGCATGGGTGAGGTTGAGCA